TCTAGGTCTTAGAGCTGTCAAAGGGATTAAGCAATGTCAGTCAACAGGGGCCACAGACAAGCCTACAATATAGGTGGAAGATGGAGGAAGGGAAGGTGCTTTCAGAAGGAAAAGGCAGGATAGCCACGTGCACAGCAGCACTGCTCACAGCAGCCACAAGGGGGCAGAAACCCAAGCGCACATCACTAGCTGGATGAACAAAATGTGGCAGGTACACACAACGGAATATTATTTAGCCTTAAAAAAGAAGGCAATTCTGACACATGCTACAACCTTAGGGTATTACACTAAGTGAAAAAAGCCAGACAAACAGACAAGCGCTATATGATTTCAGTCATTTGAGGTCTATAGAGAGATCTCAAATTCATAGAGACAGAAAGTAGGCAGGTTGCCAGGGGCTGCAGGGAGAAGGGGAACAGGGAGCTATTGTTTGACAGAGTTTGAGTTTTACCAGATGAAAGGGGGTCTGTACAATGTGAGTGTCCTTAATGCCACTACACAGAACACTCAAAAACAGATGAGATGGTAAATTGTATGTCCTGATGTAGATGTATTTTACCACAGTTAAAAAGGGAAAGGCCGAGGGGGCACAAGGTGCAGGGACAGGGGGAGTAAAGCAGGCTGGCGCAGTGGAGAAGTCACGGTCTTTGAAGGGCGGCCTCAGGTCTCTGGGGTTTAATACTAACGGGGCCTGGAATGAGCTACTTAGCACAGTTGGTCTCCTCATCAGCATCGCTGACGTGAGGTTTAGCATATCGTTGGCACATAGTGGATATTCAATTAATGACAGAGATTATAAAACAGAGAAAGAAGGAAAATACAGAGAAAACAGGGAAAAGACAAAAGACAGAGGTGACATGCTGGGAAGTGGTTTGTCATCAAAAATTACTTTAGCATCCTTCTTTATGAAATCTGCCTTCATTTGAGAAAACCAAAAACTTCCAAGTTTCAGTTGAGATGCTAAACATCTTTAGGGATCCTGTGAAAAACACTTAGTACAGCAATGACCAGCGATTCTCAAAGTTGTTCACGTGGCAGAGAATCTAGAAAAGACTAAAAATACTGGAAGTAATTAAAATAGCTAAACAGAAAATTCTAGGCTGTACAAAATGACATTTTTCACTAGATTCAGATGTAACAAAGCCAAATACTCAGGAATATTTTATGGGAGAAAAGCCTCAAGCATTCAGTCATTAACTTAAATTCCCTGTGAATTGGGGAAAGTTACTGTCATTGGAACACACTGGTCACTCAGGGAACATGAGTGTAGAACTTGAGAACCACAGGTTTATGGTTGTTTTAAGTAAAACACGGATTAGTGTAAACCATCAATTAATCAATTCCTTAAAAAAGACCTCCGGGAGGTATTCCTAGGGGTTGTCAAGTGCAGCTGTCTTTATAAGTATCTTAAAACTCTATGCGCAAGTGTCTTTCTGTTGGACTTACATTTGCCCTTCCATTTCTTTCATACATTTCTCAGAAAATAGCAAAGATACTCAGCTACTTAATGTCGGTTCTTTAATGAAGATTCCTTCTGTATATTTAAAATACTTTTAATTAGTTATCAGGGATAGAATGACTAACAGTCTGTTCACCATTGTTCTAAAGGGGGAAGGAGAACTCAATCCTTGGCCAAGACATGTCCAGACCGCAGTGACTCTGGGATCACACTGGAGGTCTCTACCTGCCTGGGAAAGGAGGCACATTTTAACCATAGAAAGAGACAGGCCACAAAGATGCCCAAGGTCTTTAATCTCCTCTGAATCAAAACCAAACACTTTCATTAGAATGCAAAAAAGCAGTTTTCAGGCCAATTGCTTTGTGGAAAGCACCACCAAATATAAGCAAGTTATATTCAAACTGTGACATGGAAACACTTCTCTGGACCAAAGACAGTCAGAGGGGCCCTTCCAGGACTCCATTCCCCACAGCGACCTGGGCTTTCCTTAGAATTTGTTACCACTAAACAAAGAAAGACTTTTCTTGGTTGCCAAAAGATACAAGAATATCTGGTCACAAGGTAAAGCAATATTATATAATCTCTCAATTATCAAATTCTTATAATTAACGATAATGATATGATGGTGGCAGCACATAATTAATAACTGTAATTTTGTCACAGAAGCACCATCAATATTAATAAGGCTAAGTAATGATACTAGGTGCTTACAGAGCTTTTCACCTAAAAAGTTAACAGTTGTTATCTCAGCTATCTTTGCTAAAATTTTCTGAGGTAGGTAAAAGACATGGTTGTCATTTTCACGCAAAGGAATCACATAGAAACGTGTTTAGATGTATGCAGTGACGCTGTGATTCAGTGGCAGAAGCAGAAGGCCACTAGGCCTGTGTCATTACCACCCAACACTCTGGCTCAAGATCATGGTCCTGGGGACATTCCTAGTGTCTTCAGATGCTATGCTCAGGAGTGGACATTCTGTGTGTATCTAAGTGGAACACAGGGAAGGGTCAGAGAGCTCAGGAATAAGGACACTTAACACAGTTCCATTCATTCATATGGAAATTCCTCAATTCTGACTCCACTGGAAATCCTGGCAAGACATATGTTATAAGTAAAATGTAAACCTGCATTATCGACACCTGCTCTTGGCCCTGGGTCACCAGTAGTAGAGGGGTCTGTAACATAGGTTAGGTTGCTAAAGAAGGAAGAAAAAGAAAGTGAAGAAGGAGAAAAAAACTCACAGGTCTATAGAGTTGGGATTCCCCCCTGCAACTAATATCTCTAATTCCGGGAGGAGGGGAATGGGGATGGGGGAGCGGCAATCACCTGCACGCTCATCCCACCTCCCCTCCCCAGTGTCTCTCTCAGCCCCAGGCCTGTCAAATCACACTCCCCATCTGCGCCATACTTTACCAGCTCTTGCCCCACACATCTTCAAGTTCCTATTTCACCTTCCCAACTCCTTAAAGCCCCTACCCTCTAGGTGGTAAGAACTACTTCCAATGCTGAGAGAGTGCTCGGTCTCACTCCCCGGAACACAAAGGACAGGCATTCCACTTCTGCAACAATTAGACAGGCGGACAACAAAAGCTCTCATATACTGAATGTGCTTTCCATATAGCGCTTTGCAAATACAGTGAATTCACATGG